CGAGTCCCGCTGGAGGTGCTGAAGAGACCGGTTCTGACGAGGTAGAAACTGCAGTTTACTTTTGTCTGGATGAGAATAGCTGTTGAGAAAGAAGTTTGCGTGAAATTGAGTGAAAAAGTCTACTAAAAACTCTTTGTTTAATAGGGTCTCTCACGAACATTTGAAATTGGACCCTACCAAGTAGTCCATGTGAGAAGAGACCTTCATTTCATATGAAAGTGCATGAAGAAGTGATTCTTACAATATAGAGCTCTTCCCAACAATGTTATCTCAGGAGGCTCATCAAAACCCAGTTACTCTTCGTATCTAGTTCCTGTGAGTTGTCGACATATTCAGATGCCGTATTCACTCGGCTAGTGTGTTCCTTCTGTGCTGGAGGCCACATGTAATCGCAAGCAAGAGTACTGCAGCACAGTCAGTTTGAGTAGTGTTCGAGTCTACCGGAAGATCTTGCATAAGAGCTGTATTCGCCCCAAGACGGATAAGATCATAAAGGACGCTAGTTCAATTTTACCACAATCATATGAGAAGGCCTCGCGATGCCACTGCATTTCCAATAGTCATACTGCTCAAAAGGTATTCTTATCCCATCTGGAGTGTACTGCAGGTTTGAGCTCGCCCGGGTCTCATTAGCAGTCCCAGTTGGACTCGAACCCAGGCAGTGCAGCGCAAAATCTCGACATTTTACCACCCTACTACAAATGGCAATGGGTCACAGGGCAGATGCGACTTTAAAATTATATTTATAGTTGGATGATGTTAAATCAAAGTTGTATTTACTATTAAAATCGACTGCATTACTTATAATCATATTGAGTATGCCTTACAACTACCAGTATATCTGGAAACCTACTCAAACTGAATATAAGTAATGTGATGTATTATAGTAGAAGACACAAGTATGCATTCTTAACAGTCCTGCTACAAAGTTTGCGGAGGAAGAGGCTTGGCTAATCTTGACAATCACGTCTGTCTCGAGACACACGGGCACCTGTGCCAATATGACGTAGCAGTACCAGGTTCAAATTATGCTGAAATACCCGAGTTCGATTCTTGCTGGTGAAGCTGGTAGCAAGTTCAAGACTGCAGTCCATTCCAATAGAGATGATAATAACTTTTAGAAGGCAAGTAGAAGCAAAATGCAACCAAATCGTCGTGCCTACTCATATGGTTATGAGTAAATTCAACCACCAGTCCTTCGTCACCTTAAACGAACAGCGACTTAGAGAAGAGGGGCTACGAATTTGGCTTGTGGTGCTCCAGATATCAAGGTTTGGCTGTCTAAAGCGGGAACTATTTATTTAAGCAGGTTGTGTTGGGGCAAAACTTGCAAATTCTTGCCAATTCCTCACTATTAGG